TCCAATTTTGTCTCTCAAGGGCATGGCTGAGCCAGAGCCTCCTGAGGACATGAAAACCAGGGGAAAAGAGGGAGTGAAGAGCAGTGCTCCTTGCCAGGGCCTGGCTTCAGCTGTTTTGCGGACCTGGGGTGTAGCTGTAGGGCTGCTGGAGTCTCTGCGCTCACCCGCTTCCCAGCTACTGTCAGAGCTTCTGCATGGAACTGCACGTTGTGTGGAGTCCCGGGTGCTGTGACCTGTGGGACGGGAGTGTCAGGGCCAGGGTTATTCAGGGGCCCTGCCTCGTGCTGTGTGTGGGAGGTTTGAGCTGGATATTGCTACCAGTCACTGACTGCAGCTTCCGAACGCACAAGCAGGCAAAGAAAGCAAAGCTGCCTTCTGCTCTGGGTACTCGGGAATTGTCAGGCGGGAGCATTACTCCTGCTGGGTTTCGGCCCTGTAAGCACCCAAAAAGAGGATTACGTTTGGCTCTGTGGAGGACAAGCAGTGTCCTGGGAACCTTTTATCTTTATTTTAGTGGCAGAGGCACTTTGGAAGCCCCTATGGAGGGAAAGGCTTAGAATCATGGAATGGTTTGAATTGAAATGGACCTTTTAAAGACCATCTAGTTCACCCCCTGCCATGGGCAGGGACACCTTCCACTAGACCAGGTTGCTCCAAGCCTCATCCAGCCTGGCCTTGGACACTTCCAGGGATGGGGCATCCACAGCTGCTCTGAGCCTGATAGCTTTAGGCTAATTGTTGGGCCAGGAGAAGAGGAGCGTGGTGCAAGCCAGCTTGGACTTGTGCTCTTTATTCTCCTTGACACACACACTACACGTGCAGAGGGCAAGGTTGCAAGAAAACGCCATCACTTTACCAGTGTCTTACCTCCTCTTTGTCCTCAGGCCGCACCAGCTTCTACGAGCAGTACGGAGTCATCCGGGATGTGTTGCAGAACCACCTCACGGAGGCCCTGATGTTCCTGACCATGGAGCTCCCAGCCAACGTGAGCAGGGCCGAAGAGGTTTTGCAGTGCAAGCTGCAGGCCTTCCGGTCCTTGCGGCGCCTGGAGAAAAAAAGTGCCGTGTTGGGTCAGTATCAGGCGTACGCCAGCCACGTACAGGAGGAACTGCAGAAGTCACAAGACTACGTCAGCACAACACCAACCTTTGCAGGTGAGAGTTTGGTCTGGGCTCCGGAGAAGGGAGTAGGCTAGAGCTGCGGAGAGCGGATGTGAGTCCTTGCATGCTGATACCAGCCCCGCGATGCTGGTCCTCGCTGCTCACACAGGGATGTCTCCAGGCATCCACCCGCATGGTAACTGGGAGCTATAACAAGGTAATAGTTGTTGTGATAGTTAATTAACAGTCCAGTGAATGGGAAACATGGCAGAGGAGCCAAGTCCTGTTATTCTTTTGAAGATCTCTGCATTATCTTTACGTGTGGCCTGCAAACTCCTGTGCCTTTTCATAAAGTCAAATCTGAGGGGTGAAGCATTGGCAGTTGTCTGTGATGAACAGGCCACGAGGCTATCTCTGGCCATGCCCTATGTTCTGAACATTTAAGGACTGTCTGACAGTCGTGCTCAGCAGCTGGTTTCCTGCAAGGTGAAGGGAGCCTCATCAAGCAGAATACCCGGGAGGGTGCAGAGCAGGGTAGCTGGAGAGCAGTTAGTCCAGCAGTGTCATGAACGGGCTGAATGTGGAGCCAGGATGCAGTGGATGCCAGGATTTCTGGGATCTAAGGGAGGAGAATGATGGGCAGGTGATAGAGAGCCCCTCAAATCCGCTGTCCAGGTTTGATTTGGCAGCTGAGATCACTGTCATTTCAGGTGTGCTGATTCACAGCGACAGCCTGCGTTGGGAAGGGGTCCCTTTCCTCCTCACTTCAGGGAAAGCTCTGGATGAACGGGTAGGTTATGTCCGTGTTCTCTTCAAGAACCGGGCCTACTGCACTCAGAGCGAGCCTCTGAGGGATGCAGGGCACAGCCAGTGCAAAGCCAAGCAGATCGTCTTCTACATTGGGCACGGTGTGCTCAGCACCCCCGCAGTGCTCGTGAGCAGGAACCTTTTCAGGCCTGTCATGCCGGAAGGCAGTTGGAGGGAAGCAGTGGGATGGTCAGACCTGCACGTTTTTGGACAGCCGTTGTCTGATTACTACGTGTACAGCCCTGTGAAAGAGAGAGATGCCTATTCTGTCCTCATCTCCAACATCTACCACGGCAGGAAGGACTTCTTCATTACCACTGAGAACCTGCTGGCCTCCTGGGCATTCTGGACACCACTGCTGAGCAGCGTTTCCCGCCAGCCCCTGCGCCTCTACCCCGGGGGCGTGGAGAACCAGCACCTCTTAGACTTTGAAATGGTGAGCGGGGAAGTGGCATTCACGCTGGCAGAGCCGGTGCAGCTGCTGCACCCCCACAGCCTGATGCCAAGTGATTACAGGACGATCCAGTCCAAGTTTCGGCAAAGTCCCTTGGTCTCGGCGTGGTCTGAAGACCTGATTTCCCGTCTGGCTTCTGACATCGAGAAGACGGCAAGCAGGACTGTGGCACGCTCTGGGCAGTTCCACCTGGCCCTCTCAGGGGGCTCAAGCCCAGTGGTCCTCTTCCAGCGGCTGGCAAGACACCATTATGCCTTCCCGTGGAAGCACACCCACATCTGGCTGGTCGATGAGCGCTGTGTCCCTCTCACTGACGCCGAGTCCAACTTCTTCAGCTTGCACGACCACCTCCTCCTGCGTGTCAGGGTGCCCTACTTCAACGTCCACCCCATGCCCGTGCACCTGAACCAGCGGCTCTGCGTGGAAGAGGACGGAGGCACGGAGTTGTATGCCAAGGAGATCATGGCTCTGGTGGCCAATGCCAGCTTTGACCTGGTGCTGCTGGGGGTGGGCACTGACGGGCACACCGCCTCGCTCTTCCCCCACTCTGAAGAGGGCTTGGAAGGGGCTCAGACGGTGGTGCTGACTGAAAGCCCTGTCAAACCTCACCAAAGGATGAGTCTTAGCCTACCCCTCATCAACAGGGCCAAGCAGGTCTTTGTCCTGGTTTTGGGGAAGGGTAAGCATGACATCACCACCCTGATCAGCAGAGTGGGCCACCAGCCAAGGAAGTGGCCTATCTCGGGTGTCAGCCCCAGCTCGGGCCAGCTGGTGTGGTATGTGGATTACGAAGCTCTGCTTGGGTGATGCCTTCACAGTGTCCCTCCTCCCGTGTCTGCTCGGCACTTACAGCCTGGATTTTCCTATACAAGGTCCATGTTTTTCTGTTGGCAGCAGCAGCTCCATCTCTGACAGACTCCTCTAACTTTCCGGGAAATCCATGGCCTGTGGCGCCCCTGACATTTGAGCCCAGAAGGGAGCTCGGCTCAGTGTTCAGAGCTGCGTAGGAGCCAAGAGCCTGGCGCAGCATTTCTGGCTCTGCTAGGGATTGTGATTGTGACTTTGGACAAATTACCTCACCTTGAAGTGCCTCAGTTTTCCCTGTCAGGCCTTTGTGGTTATTAGTGTTTGACTACCTCTGGGGCACGACGGGAGACCTGTTAAATTAAGTACCTGCCAATTTTATTATTTTTTTAATTCTCAGGCTAGAAAATAGCAATAACGTGCTCATGCTCTGCCCTGCTCAGTCTGGCCGGGGCAGAGTCGTCTCGGTAAAATGATGGTTCTGTGTACATGGGGCTGTAGTCTTGTACAGCAGCCCATCCCGGTGTCAGCCAGCCACTGACTCTGGCTGCACTCTCCTGGAAACACAGACACCCCTTTGCTTGTGGGGCCTGTGCCCCCCACATGCTGCCACTAATTTGTGAGCTCGCTGCGGTCCTGAGGCTTTGCAAATTGCCCGGCAGCAGAGGCTGAGTTTATAAGCAGCAATTTGCTGCTTTCCTTAAGTGGATAGCTGATCCCGTGGGGGCTGGAGGAGGGAGACATGGTGCTTTTTAGGCTGCGAGAGCAATGGGGACAGGGTGAGGAGTGTGGCCATTCACAGAGCTCTTACTTGCCTGCAGTGCAATAATTACTGAGGGGAATGCTTGCTGTTCAGAGTTGTTTGGGTTTAGTGATCAAAGAAATGTTTTCTTTAACCATCTTTCTCCATCTCATTCCCTGAAATGAACTTTTCTCTGTCCTCGGAACTGAGGCTTGCATTGTAGTTGAGTGGCTCATAAAAGTGCTACAGGAGGCAGCTTTATAAACTCCCAGCACACCCGTCCCTGCAGCCCACGCCGAGGCGGTCACCGTGTTTGCGGATGGCGGGGGTGAGCTCGAGGGCGCTGACTTCTGAGGGGAGGCAGTTTTCGCGGTACGTATCTGCTGGGCACACGAACGAGCACGTTGCATCTCTCCGCTGACAGACAACGTGGTGACAGGGACGTGTAGCGCCATTGCTCACAGGAGGGGTTGCAGATACCTAGTCCCACCCAGAGACCCTACTCTCCCCTGCCTAATTTTCGCCTTCCCAGAACGCTGCCACGCACAGTGGGTGTCTCTCTGCTTTCATATCCCCGAGTGCTCCGTGATCTTCTGTAACGGGAAGTGACCACAGCACACCAGGGGGCAGCTTTTGGCAAGGAAGTCAAGACAGCGCAAGATGGGAGAATCTGGGACGATGATCCACGTGGAGGCTGGAGACAAACCCACTCACCCGGGTGGCACCAGGATGGGACAGACCCGCTGCAGGAAGCTGGAACGTGGATATGGTACTGGCTGCCAGCCCTGTAACCTCACAAGGGAAAAGTAGGATCCTCAGGAGCTGGACCTGGAGGCTGGTGAGCCCTTAGGGAGCTGAAAGTCTGCAGTGCAGGGAAGGAAGGAGACTTGGCTTTAGAAAGCCAGGCGATAGGCACTGCCTTCAGGTCCTGCACAGGACCTGCTGAGCCCTAGCGATGACGATACCCATGCGGGCACGAAGAGGGGCTACGGGCTGCTGGCACACGAAGCGAGGGGGGCACGTCTCTACGGCCTGTGCTCCCACGTGCTGGAGTTGTTGCCTTTCAGCATAACGCTTAATGCAGAGATCAGACTCATCGTCCTCTGCTAATTGCACAAGTACAAGTGCACGGGCAAGCTCCAGAGAGCCTGCTGCCCATCAGCAGTCCCTAGGCAGAGCCCGAGAGAACGTACCCTGGCAGGAGCTATGTGCAGCTGGAAAAGGCCATATTCTCAGGGACTGGCTGTGATTTCTGGCAGATGCCCTCCCCCACCTTGCAGAGGGGCCAGAAAACTGCATTTTACATTCCGTATTTGACCAAGCTGAGCCGACTTGCACTGGTGCGTATCACTTGGCTTTTGCAGTGGAGCGGAGGGGAGTTGTGCCGGTGTAGCTTTCTCCAGCGCTGGAGTGCAGGGGAGACACAAGTGCCTTAACTGGTCTGGTTTGACAGCCAGGATGGGTGGTTACCCATCTTTTGGGGGTGTCCAGGAATACGTTTACTCCTGCCTGTTTCATGGTTACAGGCAGGCTTCGCTACCAGCACAGACACCAAAGGGTGAAGATAAATCTCAGGGGAGGGGAGCAGCGTAGAGAAGCGTGAGGAAGGTGAGCGCTGCAGGTTCCCTGCTCAGGACTTGCTAGTGAAGGGGGTATGCTGACAGTGGAGTCTGGAGCATGTGCCCAGGAGTGAGCTGGAAAAACTGTCTTCACAGGTGAGTGCTACCAAACTCCGGCTCCAAAATCACCAGAGTGGTGGGAAGAGCTGAGCAGGGGCAGATCTTGTAGGTCTGGTACATCCATCAGTTTCAACGTCCCTTTTCATTTTTAAACAAGAATAGCCACGTTAACTGCATCCGGTGCTTTTGTATTTGGTGTGAGGGAACAAGTTTTAATGGAAAATTCACCTATGGGAGAATGAATATATCGCTGCAAATGACAGAATTTACTGCTACTGTACAGGTGGCTGTGGCATTGGTGTTTTCTTATTTCTGCACTTTTTTGTGTCAATACTTGGCTGGCAGCTTTTGGAATAAACCCTGATTTTTAGGGAGGTTGATTTGCACTTTTAAATAAGCATGTGGGTTGTTTCCCAGAGAGCAGCTGTTCTTTCGAGCTAAAAATAGGCTTTGTTTGCGAAGGCTCTAATAGGTTGCCCCAAAATTCATCCTAAGTTTTACTGAAATCCCGTAAAAGCATACACACCTTTTCCTTGGTGAAGATACCTGTCTGGGTCGCTTGGATGGTTTTTTAGACCTGGGGGTTTGCGGGTTTTTATACACAAACATTCCTATTAAACTCTTTAATGCTTAGCCTTTGCCAAATGAAACCCAAATATTTTTAAATATAGAAAATCTGTGACTGGCAAGAGAGAGGCTGCGGATGGGAGGAAGGGTTGAAGGAGCAACAAATCTGATGAGGAAGAATGGTAGAAATCCACTGGGCTCTAAGCCAAGGCTGCGGCGCTATTTTTATTTTGTGAAAGCTCTTACTAGGTGGTGTGCACCTTCCCGAGAGCCTGTAGTCACCTTTCTTTGCAAAAGCAACTCTGTGGAGTAACCTCTTCCAGTCTGTTTCTCCCACAGGTGATTATTGCTACCAGGTTTTTCTTAATGGCAAGGGCATTCCTAGAATTCAGTAATATGATTGTTTATATGTTTTACAGAAAACTAACACTGAAAGTAATTAATTTTCATTTCAACTTTTGTGAATCGAGTTGGAAAATCTTATTTTCCCATGAGTGAAGTTCTGTGATTCCTTTCATGTTCTGTAATGAATAGAGAGTTCTAGTTCTAAAAAATAAATAGTTTTTAACCATAGTGTCTTCTAATTTCTTTCCAAGATTGGTGGTCATTCCGGTTTTATTCCTATGTTCTTGGTGAGTGAAGTTTCGATGTTCTGGTCATACAAAGAGGACAATGTTGAATTTTTTGTGATGTGAAGCCAGCAGTCAGTCTTAAACGGTCACTCTGACTCTGGGGTTTTTGTGTCTCTTCCACACAAGGCCAGGACTTTCCCAACCAGAGGAGCAGCCAGCACCCTTTCAGAGTGAGAAGATGGAATCACCCAATACTGTGCAGGGTCCTGAAATCGCCAGGCCTTAGGAAAGTCTCCTCTGATCCACATTTACCCCCCGAGCTGCATTTCCATAGGTACTGTCCCCATAGGCGGACAGTACCTGTCCTTTCCCTGGGCGGCTAATGCAGTGGAGCATTTCTGTAGTGTCACGTGCTGTGGGTCTCTTCGGTGTCCAAAGCCTCGTGGGGCTCCCGTGGGTGTCCAGGTGCATGGCTGCGATGTGTGTGTGATACTCTGATGCCGTCGGTGATGCCGGATTATTTAAGTGGCGCATACGTTTGAAGACGGCTGTGCAGGTGAGGAGATTGAGTCACGTCTGAGGCCGGGGCCGGAGTTTCCCATCCCAATTCAGAAGTGCTTTAATTGTCATTTAGAGAAAGTTCTGTTCTAGTTTAGAGACCTCTGCACGTCACTGAAGAGAGGTGCTCCAAGCAGTTACAGAATTAGTGAATCCTCCCCAGACACGGAGCAGAGACGGTGGTAAAAGCAGCAAAACAACTTTTTTGGTAATGCTTCTCAAAACCACTTTTCTGGTGCTGCGCTTGACTTCTCCTTTGGCCATAGCCGAGGGCAGTCCTTGGTGGGATCTGTGCCTCTGGATTCGTCGCCTGCCTTGGTAGGGGTCTGGTTTGTTGCTTTCCTTTCCCCAGACAGCTGTCTGAAAACATGGCCGTTAAGGGGCAAAAAAGGAGGTGGAGAGGAGGGAGTGTAAAACAACATTTCAGGAGCCTGAGCGATGCTGAAACAAGCTGCCTTGTCAACTGTCTGTGGGTCATGGGAATGGATGCGGTTAGTTCCGGCCGCTCCCCCTGCAGAGAGCTGGCACGACTCCTGTAGCAATGCAGCACCGGTTCTGCTGCAAACCCCACTGCGGGCTGTGCCGGGCCTGTGCCCCCGAGCTGCTCCCGCGGCGGGCCGGGCTGGCTCTCTTCGACAGGTTGCTCTAGGGAGAGGAATTTCCTGCAGAAACTGTCCTGGTGGCACTCCGACCAGACATGGCCTCATTTTTTCCTTAAACAGGGCTCCCTTTTGGTAGGCATCTCCTCACCCACAAACCAATCCGGGTCTTGCGCGGGTGATGTTTGACTCTGGGCAGTGTTGCCAGTGCTGGAGTGAGACCTGTGCGCAGACACAAACTGTTCAGCGGGTTCTTTTCTGTAGATCCCAGCCTGTTTTTAACACA